CCAATAAATAAGACGTTTCACGGTTGATCATAGGCTTAAACGGTAATGATATTCGGCAGTCGGAAAAAAAAATATTGTAGTGGGTTAAATCATAAGGCATTATATAAAACCATATTGAGGTTAAACCTATCGGTAACTTATCAAATATAAGAGTGACTTGTATTAACCCGTTATCCATTTTAAATTCTGAAAATTCGAGTGTCTCAGTGAATCGACTTACAAAACCTGCATTTCTTCCCGAAATAATATAAAATTTTAATTTATCAATGAGAATACTAATACACTGTAGAATGATTTATCTTATATCAGAGATTGTTATAAGTATGAAACTAGAAAAGACATCCCTAGATAGACCGGTTTATATACTTATCGTAGACCTAGTATTTGTACATGGTGTTTATCATTTGCTTAAATTGAAGAATAATTTAAAATACAGAAAAATTTGTTGCATATTATTTTTCCAGTTCTTTTTTCGACCACTGAGTATTAGGCATTTTATATATTATTGATTGCCTAGTGAAATCTTCATGTAAACGCGACTATACCAAAATTGATAACAGATTTATGGCGGTTTGCAAAAAGGTGTAACACCATGATTTTAACGATGATGATGGCGGAGAATCTTTGAAATTCTAAATAGAGAATCTGAGTTTAAGAATCTATGTAAAATCATGTATAATTATATCCTTAATCATAGCTTTAATCAGCGATTAATACGTATATTACATATTTATATAAGACTATTGTGCTCTACTTTTTTTTACATGCACATATTTTTTTCTCAAAAAATGACCGATTTTCAAGAAACAAAATTAAAATATCACCGAGGAACTTGTTTTAGTTGCCGAAAATGCATGTACTGTGGAATTGATTTGCAGCAAGAAAAATGTGACTGTGATTTATCTAAAGTACCACATAAAGGAAATCGGACAGATGCCGTCAAATATGCGTTTACACAAGTGTTTGATCCAAACTGGATAAAAGAGAAAGTAGAATTTGTCCACCAAAAAATCAAACAATATAATTATTTATTGGGTTCAAAGGAGGCTTTCGATTTTACTTTATGCTCTCGATGCAATAGTGTTTTATTAAGGTTATCTTCAAAAGCAAAAAAGCTTAAAGCAACGTTGAATTCTATATTTGCAAATAACGATAACTCTTCAGAAGTAGAAACATGTGATCTTACTACTCTATCAAGTGATATATCTGAATCTGAAGAAAAACTTGATCAGAAATCCGATAAAAAAAAAAATAGAAAAGAATATGAAGATCATGATGATGAAGAGCTTTTATCAGATGAGGAAGTTGAATATGAATATACATATGGTATTTTTATCAAATTGGAAAATGGAGTGTCTCTTCCAGCAAAATGGTATACAGCTAAAGTATCTACAGTTGATGAGTTAGTTTCAGAAATTCATATAAATATTGAAACTTTAATTGGAAAAAGGCCAATTGATCCAAATAATTACCGTATTGTATTTAAATCCAAAAAGGCAGCTGGAGCAGGTACTCAACTAGTTGATACTCAAGACTTCAAAAAATTTCAATCAGATTACCAGAAATATAGATCCAAAAATATCAATATGGCCTTCTTTATAACGTTTGTTAGCTCAAGTTTAAAACGAAAAGTAAATATAAGTATAAATTTTTATATTTATATTAAATAATATTATATAAAAATAACTTTATATCTTTTATTTAGGATCTTGAATCTGATAATAATTCAGATGATGACTTTATTGCAAATTTGAAAACCAAAAACTCTATTCCTAAAACTTTGAATCCTTCTTCAATTGAATCATCAATTGCGAAAAATGTTTTAGAAATTCGAACCAAAAATCATTGTATAATTTATAATAGACCATGTTTAAATAAGGATGGTGCTAAAGAAAATTATGTCATAATTACTTTTATGATGCTTTCAATTTGGGCATCTGAAATTGTAAGTAAATTTATAAGCAAAATTTAAAATATATATACATATTAATATAATTAATTTTTGGATCATATAGAATAAAGCAATGGCATCACCAACAGAACCACCTACACACCCTTTATTTGCATATAAATATTTAAGAAAAGCGAAAATATCATCACAATTGCAATCTAGTTCTATGCAGTTCGATCAATTTCAACCATCTAGCTCTATGCAGTTTGATCAAATTCAACCATCTAGTTCTACACAATTTAATCAAATTCAACCCTCTAATTCAGTACAACAACTTAATTCAATAGAACAACCAAATTTAATACAGCAATATAATTTAATGCAACGATCTAATTTGATGCAACAATCTAATTTATCACAACAATTTAATTTAATTCAACAGCCTAATTCAATACAACAACCTAATCTATTACGACAATTTAGCAAAAAAAAAATTTATTATAAGTTACATATATGTAATAATATATTGCAAGCTGCACAATTTATTTATATCAGTTTTTAATACTAACGCTAATAATATATTTCAAAGTTGCATAATGCTAACGCTAATTTTCCCAATTATTTTTATAACCCTCCACTTCTTCATACAATTCTCCATCGATATTATCAATTGTTGTAACTTCATCAATATGAGCTTCATCCGTATTTATTAAATAATCATCTTCATCTTCTGGTTCATCTTGAGCCGTCTCCACAGAAACACCACAACAGCTAAATGCCTTCCTAATTAAGTCAGAGCTAACGTCTTCCCAAGATTCTTTAACCCACTGTGCAACAATTGAGTATGCTGGTTTGCGAATACGTCCAGTAGGAGTTAATTGGTGAATCTCTTTGGCCATCCAATCATTATAACGACGTTGTACCTATGATTACAAATATTAAAATTTTTAAATATTTTATGAACATAAAAATTATTTACTTACATTTTCTTTAAAGCATTTATTGATAGCAACATCCAAAGGTTGAAGTTTACTTGTTAATCCACCCGGAATTACAGCAATATGAGTCTCCTTTTGTCCAAAATTTTCTTTGACAGAATCTACTATATGACCTCTGAATGAATCTAAAATCAGTAATGAGGTCGGATTTTCCATTTCATTGCGTTGAGTCCAAACCGTATTTATCCAATAATTCATTTCATTTTCATTACACCACCCACTTTGATTAGCTCTAATAACAATACCATCAGGAAAAATTTCATGAGGAACATTTTTTAGCTTAAAAATGCAGGTTGGAGGAAGTTTTGTCCCGTCGGCAAGACATCCAAGGATTACAGTAAAACAAGATTTTTCATGCCCAGTTGTCCGAATACTAACTGTTTTATTACCACATTTTTCAAGAGTTACCGAGCTAGGTAAATCGAATGCCACTGAAGTCTCATCCATGTTTCCAATATATTTTAAAGGAAACACATATTGATAATGCTTAAGTGCAACAAAGCTTAAAAATTCAGCTTGCTTTTCAATATAATCTTCAGGAAGACGTTGTGATGTAGTTGTACGATGACGATTTGAAAGATTGTAACGATGTAAAAATCCATACAACCACCGATCAGAAAATTTGAATTCAATAATATTAGGGTAAGCATTTTTAATTTCTTCCTCTTGTGATAACAACTTCGCTTTACGGATTGTCATAATTCATGTTACTGCATTTTGTCTATCACGTAATTCTTTAACCCAGTTAAAAAGCTTTTCTTCAAGAATTGGATATTGTGCAGAACGACCAGGATGAAGTGATAAAGCATGAGGTAAAGCATCTAGAAGTTCTTGTTTTTTTTTCGCCAATCACGAACTTGTTTAGGCTCGATTCCAAACTCTTTAGCTGTTTTTCGCACATTTTTAATGTATTCAAAATAATAAACAACCATAAGCTTTTCACGAACACACCAACTTCGACGAATCTTATTAGTAATACGAGCCCGTTTCATATTTATTTTCTTTAAAACTATTAGTAAATACTCAAAAAATTTTGTAGCTCTTATATACTGATTATTGATAAATTTATTTGGCTTTACAATATGACGCCATTATAAATTAGAAAAATTTTATAACTTTTATTTGTTGATTTTTAATTAATTTATTTGACTTTACAATATGGCAGAAAGTTTTTAATAAATTTATTTGACTCTAATTATGACGTTATTCATAAGAAAATTTTAATTAATTTATTTGACTTTACAGCATGACGTTAATCATTTACAAAATACATATTCCGAATTTTATACCCCCACCAATACAATGTATCCCCCCTGCTTCGGTACCCCGGGTACAATACTAGCAATGTATATACCCGGATACAAGAGTCAGCATTTTACGGTATTTGATAGTAGAGTACATTTATTCACCGCACCCAGCGATGTCACTAATTTACCACCTCTCACATGATCGACTAATCAAATTTTAAGATCAGGTGTAACGTAGCACAATCAGAAAAATTCAAAACAAACGTTCGCTTTGTCAAAAATCGTTTATAACACAAAATTTCATATATGAAACTACTCTTCGTGTTCTAACAAAAAAATTTTCTCTCGAAATTTTACTATAAAATCTCTCTTTAAGCCTATAAACCACCCTAACCTCACCCTAACCTTAACTAACGAAAAAACTGGTTGTTTTGATTTTACGTTACACCTGATTTTATGATCTCAGGGATGCGGCAACAGCGCATGTGCGGTATATAAATTGTCTCTTGATAGTATTTGCAAAATGAACGAATCAGCAAAATTATACAATTTATATCTTAATTTGATCTTAGAACTTTCAGAGACACTTTATTAAATGCCTCTCTAACATCATTAATTCATAATCACAATAAACTTAACATCAAAGGTGAAGTATCAGCGAATGCTCTTTACAAAACGCTTTTCTGTCTCTCTTGACTTAATTCTAATAAATTCGGTTTTATAGATCATTGTGAGATACTACATTATAATAAAATATCGCTTAATATTTGAATAGATCCGAATAATTGTCCAGTTAATCTATCTGTAAAGTTCTATCTGGATAACAAATGCTTTAACGAGTTACCCGGGTAGACATTAAACTAATATTATTCCAAGCAGTCAACTTGTGTTAGCACCTAAGCAACAATTGTTTATAATACAAATTTTAGTAGTTATATGGCGTGACAGACATAGCATTATAAAATACTGTCCCTAGATGTATAAAATTCTCAATGCAATAATTTGTCCGAAGAATAGCGGAGGCTCTCAACTTTTATTCAAAACTATGTTAACATCTATCCAAGTTTCAGAACAAATAACGTTGCAATTTTTTCGCATATTTGCTTTAGATATTTATCTATATTAAATGTATATTTAAATTCGACCTTTGAATAGTTCTCATATGCCAAACTCACTGCGCATGACAGGCATTGATCTAGTTATTTTCGACAAATTATATTACATTTCGTGGTTTTAACACAACTATGTCAAGCAGCTACATAATAAGAGTAGCTATGTAAGTATATATTCTTTATGTATACTTAATGCTCATGCAATTTATTGGGTATTTTATTATTTGATTTTTACTTAACGCTCATGCAATTATTGGCATTTTGTTTAATGATCCTTTTTTTTTCAAAGATTTTCTAATTTTTATTCGATTACTCTACTTTTAGCTACTTTAGTTCTAATGACTAATTTTTTTGGTTTGTTTTACTAAAGCACCGTCTTCATTATTTTTTTTAGTATTCTAACTTTAATGCTCACATTAATTATACCACACATGGTTCTGATTATGACAATGAGAAACATTATATTGTACTTTACTAAACGTACGATGGTGGCGTTACACCCGAAGTACTTCCATAAATACGAGTAGCTAAAGACAATAATAATAAATGACTTTGTCATCTTGAATAAATATGTAGGTCATTCCAGCAAATCAATATTAGCGTTAAAGAGGGTTTAGTGTGATTTGCAATTGCGAAAGAGGCAAACAGCCAAATATATGAATATTCAAATAGATGTATAAAAAATGAGTTATTCGTATCTGAAGATACTATTACTCTTTATTAGTTTGTTAACAAGTGCCATGCACATCGATTCATACATATCGAAGTTGTAAATCTTCGCGACTAACTTCTAATTCACTTGCTAATACTAATTCTATAACTATTTGAGATATAAATACTAGAGAAAATAGAGAAAATATTAAATCATATAAAAAGAAAAAAAAAAAGAGTAAGGTTATGTAACGATCAATTCTAATAGAAATTTAGCAACCAATACGGTCCGTTAACGTTAATTCGCATAACGGTTTGATCATGTATTTCGTTGACTTCAGGTTATCGTTATTCATTTTCTTGAAATGACAGTGCATAGAAATAATTCCCATATTTGATAGTTATTAGAGTTCTTATTGCTATATCTTCGTTTTCTTCTTATTTTTTGTCTTAGAGAATGTTTATTTGATACCAGTTTAATCTCACCAAATCTTTATTCTTCTATTGTTT